TCTTTCCTTCGGTTCTTTTTTGTGGTGTACGTACTTAGTCATGCATGAATTCGAACAATCTGCTACTTCTTTCTGTTGATTCTCTTGTTAATCATATCGTGTATATACAGCAAAATTTGCCTTAGGCTCATCAAGCTATACTAATTGTGTTCTTCTGCATATATGTCGCCGTCTCATTTTCACCTATTATTTTAGAATAGCCCACTGTTCAAATTTTAGTATATCCCTAGGTGCAGAGCGCCTGTTGCTTGTAGCATGAAATTTTGTCACTAGCCAGAAAGTGTCAATCAAGTCGCGTGAATTGTGATATGTGAATCACTGAAACATTTATTTAAGTAAGTAAAAACACTTTGTTATTATACTTGCTTCAAGCGATCCTATGTTGTTTATGTTAAGCTTCATGCACTAGCCAACGCAACCAAAAGTCCGAACTGATGGAAAGGGCTAGACAATTCACATATACACTTCAACAGTTTCCCACATGTTTTTCTTTTGTTTTCAAATGATGAAAGTGTCGTATACATAATATTGTCCAATCATTATTGTTGTCATGATAGCAAAATGAAAACCTTACTGATAAGGTTTGCACTTAACTAATTTGTGTATCATCATTCATCAATTCCTGATTTTTAGACTTATATATGCTAGCAAATGTTTTGGGCAGTTCACAGAGTGACTTAGAGGCCAACCTTTTCAAGGTGACTACCTTTAACTTCATTTAAATAGACATGTTTGTTATTTTGTTAACTTAAAAATACTAGTTTATTTACAGCTAATGGAGAAAAGGGGATATGGAGAGGACTACATTAATCGATATAAGATGATGACAAGGTGTGTTTTTGGAGGAAAGGCTGCTCTATTTTGAATAATATAATGTTTGGGACCTTACTAGAGTAGGCTCCCTCGGACTTCTTTTCAATTGTACCTTATTAATGATAATGAATTCCATAGTTTAAGGTGGTAACCTTATATTATTGTTGTCTTCATGTCAAGTCTACTTTGCAGAAGCTTTACTTCAGTGTCATTTTGATAACATGTTTATGCTCTATTTATCCTTAACTGCAGATTCCATCATCAAAGAGTACCACTAGTAATTTTGGTGTGTGGAACTGCTTGCACTGGAAAATCAACAATTGCTACACAGCTAGCTCAAAGGCTCAACCTACCAAATGTTTTACAGGTTTATTTTCTCTTCCCGTTGTATGTGCCATATATAAGAGTCCTGTTTGCTACCATTGTCACCTTGACTTCATTTCTTGATTATAACATGTAGACAGACATGGTATATGAGTTGTTGCGGACATCAACAGAGTGAGTTTCTTTTCCTGGTCTTGGTTATTCTCTGCCATATGAGTTGTTTGATGTGCCCATGGTTCCCCATTTCCAAAACCTGTAGTCTGTGTATAGATTACTGATCTCAACAACACATGCAGTGCCCCGCTAACTTCAGTACCTGTGTGGGCTCGGGATTTTAATTCACCTGAAGAACTTATCACCGAATTTTGCAGAGAATGCAGAGTTGTTCGCAAAGGTATTTATTTTTTGTGTGGAAAGAAGGGTTTTGTATTGCACACATAAAAGCTGCTTACTTTGGATATAATTAGTTGCAGGCACTCATTTTTTTTGCTTGCTGTTCACATTTACTAGGTTTGGCTGGTGATTTGAAGAAAGCAATGAAAGATGGGAAGCCAATTATAATAGAGGTATGTTGTTATGCCTTACATGTTTCTCCTGAAAACAAAAAACCATATTTATGGGTTGCACTGTGAAATTAATTTTGTGAAAATACCTCAGCTCTATATTGTTTTTTCATTTTAATTCCTACAGCATGGTGTTCAAATGCCTGTTCGATTGGATATTATTGAGCGGAGGGCCTAGCAGTAGGGTTGGATACTATAGAGGACTTCTTCTGCACATTGAATACTAACTGACACTAAAGTCTTCAGTTCTATTGTTTCTTAATTGTACAGTGCCAATTAGTATGTGTAGACATGTCATATGATGTTACAGGGTCATTTTACATTGATCATTACCTTCTATTGCAAAACGAGACATAATTTGGGATGGTTATCAAAAACTTCTACCAGCCATTTTGCTTGCATTCCCATCATCCAACTTCAGTCACAACACTAACTGGCCTTTTGGATTTCCTTCTAGAAGGATGTACATTTGTCCTTGTTAGTGTTCCGTGGGTATATTGTCCAAACATGAGCAGAGGATGCAACAATGAAGGGAGGCGTCAGTAGCTGATATGATATTTTCCCAAACATGCCAACACAGCAACATCGTTATGTTAAAATGGAAATTTTTGTTCACATACATGTGGTATCCTCTCTCCTGTGGCTTTCGTGCCCAACCGCACCATCCATCACCCTCAATGTCTCGCTCTCTGTCAACCATGTTGCCGTCGCTAGCTTTCGAATGAATCAGAGGCTCAAAGCAGATCATTACTTTCTACTCCCTCCGTCCCAAATTTCTTTTCTTAGATTTGTCTAGATACGGATTTATCCAGTCACGTTATAGTGTTAGATACATTTGTATCTAGACAAATCTAAGACAAGAATTTTGGGACGGAGGTAATATAATTGTGTTCGTGTGTATGTTAGCTATTCACTCTTCCGTCGTTTTGTCTTGAGAGTATTTGTTCAAATTCATGGCATGCATACGAGTACCATCGGCGGGTGAGAGCATGAATGGCGTGGGGGATTCATGGATCACTTTTCTTTCTCCCCCTTCTGTGTGAGACAGAAAAAATATTTGGCTGATAGTGGGGCCCAATCTGACAGGGCCATTGGGCACCCGCATCCTTTTTGGAAAAAAATGATATGGAAATACCAGCTAACTAGTCTGGAGACAGGCAAACTGTCATATGTCAATGTCATCCATAAAAACCTATGGAACTGAAAACGGTTGGAAAGTCGCAACTTTTTAATGGAGGAAACAAGAACAGAAAAATGTTTAAAAGCGGAAAAGCCCAAATTACCCTTCTTTCCAAACCTGTAAAGACTCGGAGGCAGATCTGTGCTGCATTGGTTTAAGCTGTCTATGTTTGCTTCATCCGTCACAGATCTTCATGGATCAAAGTGGAGTGCACATATATATTTATATGTGTGAACATTACATAACATGTGTACAGAAATTGCTCGTTGACAGCATAGTCCACTCCTGCTTTTGCGGCATGGCAGAACTTCACTGGCAATTAAAATTATTTTCTTTTGGATGTGAATAATCTGACAGTCCACACATTTCTGCTGTTGCTCAACATGGTTAGAACCTTTAAAAAATAGATCCTGCATAGCTCTACACTACCACATTTACTTTCTAGCACTTGTTGCATTTGAGATTAGCTAGTGATGTCTGACCAGTAGTACAAAGCAGAAGATGGATTTTGTTGGGGATGGTGGGGTGACCAGTAATACAAAGCAGAAGATGGATTTTGTTTGGGATGGTGGGTGGGAGCTAGCCAAAAGATCTGTAGCATCTGTATTTAGTTAGTGTGCCCCACATGTGTAAATTATGCCTAATTTTGGCTGATATTTTGACTTCAGGGAATTCATTTGGATCCAAGCATTTACCTGATGGACGAGGAGAATGCAGATGACAATTCCAGAATTGAGAAAAAGGTTGAATCTGGAAATTCATCCATCTCTGCAGAAAAGAAAACAGAACAGCAATCAGAAAATGGTCTACCTGAGAACATTGTAAGTGTTCTAAAGGAAGATATCATACAAAGCCAGGACTGCCTGCCTGAGAGTAGGACCAGTGAAGGTCTGTCTGGTGCTGACAGCCATGAGATTACCTCTTCTGATTCTGAAGAGAAAATTCTCAAAGCTGAAGGTAAGTCAAATTACTCTGATAAATGTGACCCATGTTACTGTTGTGTGGTCAGTATGACAACATGGCTGGTGTATGCCAAAGTAAATCTCTATTTCTTGTTCTAGTTGGTGGAAAAATATAGTATCTGGGGAAGTAAAGGATCAGATCATGTATGGTTCTTACAGAATACTGTACTGTGCCATGTTCTAGTTGGTGGCATGTCACTGTGTTTATACTTTGTAGGCAATGGACAAAAGGATTTGGACCAACAGAAGAGCAACAGTGCCAAGAAAGACAAGCCTGCTGCTGAACCGATAGTTGTTCCAATTGTGTTGAGGATGTCTGATTTTGATCACAAGGTGTGTTGTCTACCTGGTTTATAAATTTAAATGTGTTTCCATATATTTAATTTCTGGGTTCATACATCAAACGAACAAACCTACTTCCATCAAAAGTTTGTTTTGCGTTTCTGACCTCTCCAAATAACCAAGTTGAAGGCCTACCTTTCTTCTCTTTCGAACTGGTTCTTTCTCTGAAATTGCTCTTGCCTGGAATAGGTGCAGCGTCCCAGCTATAATTTCTAAAATATATCCAGAACACATATCTGGCTTCCATATTTAATATTTTCTGTTTTGCGTTTCTGACCTCTCCAAATAACCAAGTTGAAGGCCTACCTTTCTTCTGTTTCAAACTGATTCCTTCTCTGAAGTTGTGCTTGCCGGAAATAGGCGCATCGTCCCAACTAGAAATTCTAAAGTATATCCAGAACACGTATCTGGCTTTCATATTTGATATTTTCTGTATTTTACACACTCATATTATTTGGTTTGTTAGCTCATTTCATTCTCGTTCAGATTTGCTTTGTTTGTTTGTTCAGGCATTGTTAGAGGAATGGATAGCCACTAGAGCTATCAGAGATAATTGCCTTCCTCAGGTATTCCTGAAAAGCTTGAGTACACAAGTAAATTATTGTTTTGTCTTGGTACTATCCTGTAAAATCGTATGGTATAAGCATAGTTTCTTCTTTTTTTCATGTAAGCATGGTCATCATAAGTGACATTAAATGATTAGTCTCATGAAAACTTGGAAGGAAAGCTCCATGATGTCTACCATCTGACTAGCAACTGTGCTTTGTTTTTATTATCCTCGTTTTAAGGCTATACCGGCAAGCATGCTGAGTCGTTATTAAATGTCAATCTATTATTGGTCTATATCTTTTACAGAAACCATGAATTGGTATTAGGTGATAAGAATTATCCGTATCATTGATACAATTAATACCAATAACCATCTAGCTCTGTGATGCAATTATTACTAACAACCATCTAGCTCTTTGATGCAGTTACTAGTAACAACCATCTAACTCTGTTATAGTCCTGATATCAGAATATACTCCCTCCGTCCCAAAATAAGCGACGTGGCTTTAGTTCAAGTTTGAACAAATTTGAAGTAAAGCCACGACACTTATTTTGGACGGAGGCGCTATATGCAAAGTGGTGCAGCATACTTTCCCTATGCGACTTTAAGTAGCCTTGTTTAATGAAATATGAGCATGAGATAATTGTAACTCCTTGACATTCCCCATTTTATCTTTTACCATATTTTTTATGCTTAACGTCAATGTTTGAATTTTGAAGTGACATTACCCAGTACCGAGTATCATGTTTCCTTTTTTCTTCTTTCTCTTAGAAAAAAAAACTGCAGGTTAGCATCTGACTTTTAGTTGATGTTGTTCAGGATCATCGAAAGCTTATAAACAACCTCAAACTTATTCAGGATTATCTTTGCTCTTTTGAGGCACAGGTAATTTTTCCTTCATCGGTCAAAAGTGTGAAATTTGTTCCTTGGCGATGACCCATTTGTCAAATTTGTCACGTTTAAACTGCTATAAAGCCCCCCCAACAGGGTATTTGCCCATGAAAAACGTGAAATCAGCTAGTCATGTTTTACTTCAAGATGTCATTTTTTTACAAGAGCTATTTACCCAAGGAGTCAAGGATCATGTTGTTTCTTGTATTGAATCACCATCTTTTCTAGTTTAGTGTTTCATTGTTTGTTTTCTCTAACCTACTGTCTAAATCTGATCAGGGATTGACTGTTGTTGACATCTCAGCAAACTCGTTTCCTCAAACGTTAGATTGGCTTCATGGCTATCTTCTTCAGGTACCTGAGAAAAATTAGCAGATTTATTTTCTTAAAGATTGCATTCAATCTTTTGCAATTTCTAAAATAATGCACTTCATAAATATTGTCATGTCCAAAGAAGTGCTATGTAGTGTAACGTACTCAATTTTGCTAACACAGAGTCCTGTCATCAGAAAGACCCAGCTACTTTCGATCGTTTAAAACACCATTTCTTAACCTTATATCTTTTTTGACAGTGCATTGAGCGCGGCCTTCTGGCTGCATGTTCAGAAGGCCCCAAGCAATAGGAAAACCAATTAACATGACAGGTATCTGCTGTTTCACTTTAATAGAAGGCATATTTCTGGAAAGTACTTTATTTTCCATTATTGACGTGTTTGTTTGCTAAAAAGTCTCTTAAATACAATGCCTATTCTTTAAAAACTGGTTATGGGAAAAGCTTTTTTTTTATCAGACTTACCGTTACCGTGTGAACTAATTTTTTCCGAGACTGTTACTTACAGTTCTCGTAAGCACACAAGGCGATGTGAGAGAGACTCAACAGAATTGCTCGGCGTGGAATCTGTTAGCATACATAATCTTTTCTCACTTTGCTGGTTATATGTAATGTGTATGATCTCTAGTCATGGGTTGTTTGCGTTGGGCATAATAGAGTATAATCTTCTTCCTTTAAGTTTGGTGTGTTTCATTTGTGTTGTAATAGTAAGTGCTAGCAACTTGTGCAAATTATGAATCCATGACTGGGTTAATCATGGCCACATGACCACATTATAACTTAATTGAGAAATGGAGTGCAACTCAGAAGGTATGTTTTTGTTCTCAGGCAATGCTACTCCATATCCTAAGTTCTTTCAGATGAGCGTCACAAGTTGAGGGGGGCATCTCAGTGTCAGCAATCCAAAACAGTGCTATAGTACATGATAACGGCAACAAAAAAAAAGGTTGTCGCATGGACGAAATCGGTCGCCTCCCATGCCGTTAGATAGTCGCCTTTGCCTTGCGCACCCCCCTTCCAACCAAAAACTGTGAACGACACCAGCACTGCTTTGCAACATCGTAGCCTTGTAGACCACCAACATTGCTAGCCTGCCCCCTAACTAGCCGCAGCTCGTGCTCTTGCAGCATCGCTGATGTTCCCCTGAAGCATTGGTGACACTCCCATAGTGGTCGCAGCATTGAAAATGTTGCACCGACATGAAGGAGGCCGTCGACGACTAGTTCGCAACAGGGCCTCCTTGTACTAGGCGACATGTCGGTTGCAACATACGATGCTCATCGGAGAACCTTGGTGATGGCATGCAATAGCCCCTGTCACCTATAACACCCCCATGCATTTCACCCCCTCCTCGCAGCACCCTGGCGACGGCCTGTGAACCCTGACGGTTGTCTGCACCAACAACACCGACCCTTGCGGCATCTCCCCCTACAAAAAATCTATCAAATCCAATCACTACTATAAACCTAATAACTTTATTGATGACAACATTTCATACTTATACTTCTGCACTTGCCTTTCAAGTTAGAAACAAAAAAAATTGGCTTCTCCCAGTGGACGCATCGGCTGCCATTGGATGTGCCGCACAGATCTTAATGTGTTAACTTTTGAAACTCGTTAGCTAGGACACAAAAGCCGTGCAAAATGCATCATATTCAAACATAACCCTCCTACTGCATTGGATCAATTCTCACTTCCTCTTTCCTTTTCTTTTTATCATGGCAAATTTAATCTTTTTTTAGGTTCACATGTAAGGCAAATTTTAACATGCTCCCTCTTCCCTCTCTTTTTACATGTGAGGTAAGAAGGTTTAACTAGACCACTAACTAATGAGATCAACTGTAGATCCACTCCCTCCGTTTCTAAATACAAGTCTTTCTAGAAATTTTCACCATGGCTACATACGAATGTATATAAACGTAGTTTAGAGTGTAGATTCACTCATTTTGCTCTGTATGCGGTCCATATTAAAATCTCTAGAAAGACTTGTATTTAGAAACGGAGGGAGTATTATATAGTCTTACCTTTCATGTAAAAAGAGGGGTAAGAGGGAGCATGTTAAAACTGCTCAATTTGTTTTGTGTACACAGCAGATGCACAATATATTTTTTTTGTCTTTCAAACATGGCAATTTCATTTTCCATGTCTTTCTTGTAAGCATTTAGATCACTGAAGTAGTAATCTAAATGTTTTTATATTTCTTTACAGAGGGAGTATAAGAAAATATTTGTGCACTCGAGGGTGAGCTTTTCATTTGCTGGTTAACCTCCCCAACAAAAACGATCACCAGATATTAGGGTCCAAACTTCACTGGTGACGATGTTTCCTATTCATAGATCTGCAGCTTGCGTGAAGGGAAACGTGGTGCCATGTGCGAAACGTACAAATAGTCGTCAGACACTACAGCATACGAATATTATTGTTTTCCGTCAAAAATAAACTGCTTTACAATTGTTGCATGATATGTTTATTGCTCAGGGTTTGAAAGACACTTTTCAACAAACAACAAAGTATGATACGACAAACACCTGATTTTTACAAATATAATATGAGTAAGTACCTCTAAGGGCTAATACTTGCTGATGGTTAAAGGGTTCACCACAATCTTCACAGCACAATATCCAGTATGATACAAAACAAATATCTGTCAGCAAGCGCACATCAACCCATCAGACCATGACAAGCAGCCATATACCATTTACAAGAAACTAACTACATTAGTGGCCGCCATCAGAGCCATCATCCACTGCCTTTCCAGCGCCTCCACCGCATGACTTTGCGACCGACTCAAACAGCTGCTTAATCTCAGGTGCGCAGTGTGTGAAGGCTCGGTTCCAAAAGTTGTAGCGTGGGTTCTAACAGAGAGCAACAATGCCGCATTCATTAGTCACCATTGTGGTGATGGATTTCACCAAACATGAATAAAAATGCAATTTTTTTACAAAATACCTTTATCAGCTCGATGAAGGTGATGAGTAATCCCCAGGGGTGAGGACGGTTCACTATCAGCCGTTCTAAGAGAACCCTGGTTACCTGCTCCTGGATATGTTCCTGCAAATTCCAGTTCCAGCTCCTTTGTTAGTTAGGAGAAAGGAAACAAACTAGATTCATACTCGCTTTGCATCAACTGAAAAATACCTGGGCAGCTTCAGCAAATAGATACAGAATGATGAAGGAGAAGTAGTGTGTGTGGCTATTCGGGTAGCGCAGTTGGTTAGCAATCGCATTCAAAAATAGGTAGCGCCCCTCTGTATCCAAGTTCGTTACAAGATATCTGAAAAATTCAGTCGCTGTTTCGATCTGAAAAATATCCATTGTATTATGGTTAATCTGCTGTGCTGACGCAGATGCATTTGCCTTGTTCGCTTGCAATTGTTGCACCGCCTGAAATTTTATTTCCAAATAGCAGCTTAGAATATGACATATAACAAATAAAAGAAGCAGAATGGCAAACTCACAACAAACTAATTAAACAAAAACGAGACAGAAGATTACTGTTATCCTATATTAGAGAAAAATAAGAGAACATGTAAGACAAGAGGAAGAGGACAACCTCAAGTGTGCGGAAGAAATTTGCGGTGGTTTTTTCTTAGGAAAGAAGAATTGGTCTATGAACAAGTACTCAGAAGTAGCAAGTCCCTACTGGTAATTCCACCGCATGAGATAAAAAATATACTCACTTGGATGCCAATGTAGAGAACAAGCGAATTCATCAGAGGCACATTGTAGCGTGTCCCAGCAACATTAGCTTCATTCTGAGGCAGCACCAATTTTTGCTTCAGATCATTCAAAAAGGATGAGCCTTCTGGTCTCTGCACAATACAAGTGAAGATTCAACAATGCTGTAAAATGAGGGTCCCAGACAACGCAAGCAATTCAGTAAGCATATATAAATGCCATCACCTTAAGATACTCATCGACATCAGCCTTCATATGCTTTGACTTGAGGGCACCATCGACATCTGACATGATTCGTGGAGGTAATGAAATTTCAGCTAGCAGATCAATCTGCCACAGAAACAAGAGTCAGATATTGTCTGAAATTAGGAGAATGGAAGGAACTTTTATGTCTCTTTAGATAGACCTTCAGGTTAGGAGTAGATGGGTCTGGAAGTCTCATGTTGCGCGGAAAAGCACTAAGAATGACATTGCGCATTTGAATGCAACTGGAAGGGATCACGTCACAAAAACTGAAGTGATAATCACACAGAAATTCAGGAAAGTCATGGAGTAGTACAAGCAGCACTCTCATAGTTCCTTTGTACATAAGGTGCACCTAAGTAAAACAAACACAACAGATATAAGAGGTGGCTCATAATTACTTGAACAAGACAAATGCGAAAAGTGATTGGAAAGGGGGGATTAACTGGTTCTAAAAGGTCGGCAGTTCTCAAATACGGTTCCATGAATTTGAACAGATCAATAAGTAGCCGTTGGAAAAAAGGCCACCCTTTTTGTGAATTGCCCGTCAGCAGTCTTGCCATGAAGGTTCTATGACTCACCAACTCAAGCCAAGCAAAGCTGCAACAGAACAGTGTTAATCAGATTACCAAAATATTACCAATACAGATTTCAAACAAAGTACAAATCTATAAGTGAACATTTGAGGTTTAGCTGCAGTAAAAAACCAGAAACTATCAACCACTATTACAGGATTTTGGTCTGACGACAACAAGGAGAAGCAGGCATGTGCACATAATCCAGAGAGGCTGGAGGCTGCACCAAGGGGCAGCAGCAGTATCATCTATATAGTTACCCTAGTGTAATTTTCTTTATTTTTGTCAAGTCATCTTATTATTTGATTAGTTAGATAAGACAAACACTACTAGGTGACGCCTGCTTTATTAAAAGGCATTGGGCTGGTCATCTTGACGCAAGGTCTTGTATCCAAATAAGAGCCATGCTGTTTTGCTGGCTGCTACTCCCTCCGTTCCAAATTACTTGTCGCAAGTATGAATGTATCTAGATGTATTTTAGTTCTAGATACATCCATTTCTGCGACGAGTAATTTGGAACGGAGGGAGTACTTGAAAGTGAGCACCCTAACCAATCCTGATAGCTAACCAACCTTGTGCATAACAGCCGCACAGCAAGTAGAGTACAAGGACAATTGAGTTGACCTTTTGATGTGGGACTGTGAGTTAACATTATTACATAATCAGTGCTGTACAAAAGAAAATTTTAACGAAGCACTTAGAGAAGGAAAATCTTCAAAGATACGCGGGGGGGCGGGGACTAGGATATAAAGCAAATTGAACTAACAATCTTGTATGGTGCCTAAACTACAATGATTCAGAAACATCAGATGACATAGCATGTAGATATTGACATAGGATGGGTAGATTAATAAGTGAGCCAAAAGTGATGGACAAACCTCATGCTAGGAATTCTCGAGGGTTGCAGTACATGGAATGCATTTGCAAATGCAGCCAAAACCTGATATATACCAAAAAAGAGAGTTATATTCCTCCTGGTACAATAAATAATAAACTAAAATAGTTCCTGGTACAAAAAGAATAAACTATACATAGTTAAAAACACGTGTACCTGGAAATTAGCTCCATCATGATGGAGTTCAGAAGTACTAAGGTCATTCAGCCAATTGATAAACAGCCGAAAGTATGGTCGGGGGTTAAATGAAGCTTTCTTCTCTTCAGCATCTTTCTGAATGACCCTAATTGTCACTGACAATATCTGGACACATTGAAAACAATTTAACTTCAGTACTTCCAAGTAATTTGAATGAAAGATTTTTGAAGTCCAACTTCTGAATCCAGAATTTGATTCTACATTCTTTAACTAGTATAGGGCAAAAGGTTATCACTGGTTTCTAGATACTGACCTTGGGAAGAAGGCTGCCTTTATTTGGTCCTATTTCCACTGAACAATTCTGAAGACAAATAATAAGAGGAATTAGTATCCAGGATAATAGAGATTAGAGAGCATAATCTTCTGTGCATGCCGTCAAAAAATTGTGACTTCAACTATCTTTTTGACAAACATAACTTTCCACGTTTGAAGTTATCCCCTGTGGCTAGCTATAAGCGAACTTTTTAACATAAAAGGGAGTGTGGATAAATTTGCTATAAGAAACAGTGATAGTAAAGCCCTGTGAGTGATTTGACCAAATAATCCATACTGAAAAACAACATCCGACAGTATCCAGGGCAAACAACAATTCAGCTGTACTAAAGAAACAGAATGCTACATAACTCACAGAATACATACATAAAATAAATCATTATGAACTCGAGTCCATTTCTTGAGGTACGTATATGCATCAAGTTATACAACATGTCACTGGAAAAAAATAAACGAGGGAAGAATACATGATAGGCAAATAAATCGATCACTGCATTCTGCTCCTATAAAAAGCCTGTTTATTTTCTGTTTCATTAGCAGGGACATTATTCACGTGCCAGTTCTTGCTCACAAACATAACAAGTTGACAGCTACAAAAAGAATGAACCTTTAAAAATTCCATATTCATCCTACAACAATCCTAAACCATACACGGCAGACTCCAAAGTAATACGGAAGCATGTGTACAAAATAATTTTATAGATACCTTTATCACCACAGACACAAGCTTCGAATATGAATCAATGGGGAAATATGATATATGTGATGACTGCTGAGACAATCCACCAGGAGCATTAATTTGCTCAGAGACTAGAGAGTGTGCAACAGCAAGTTCCTGATTGATTCAAAAATTGGCATGAAAGTAACAAAAAAAGTAACACACACAGACAGAGTATAATCTACGAGTAGAATAATCACCGTGAGAATTCGGAAGAAACGCTCAGTGAATTCATCTCCCTTCAGCAGGCCAATATGTTGCAACTGCATAACATAACGACTATAGGCCGCATCACTAGCATTTGGATGATCACATATTTGGCACCACTCAGAAAATAGGTGTGCAACCTGTGAATCAACCAATATAATGCATCAAACTTCCTAGCATATACAATTCATTCTGATGTGTAAAAATGGACCTTTAAAATAATATGTTACACTGATATTTTTCTACACTGTAAGAATAAAATTGAAGGGGAGCCTTGGCGCAGTGGTAAAGCTGCTGCCTTGTGACCATGAGGTCATGGGTTCAAGTCCTGGAAACAGCCTCTTACAGAAATGTAGGGAAAGGCTGCGTACTATAGACCCAAAGTGGTCGGACCCTTCCCTGGACCCTGCGCAAGCGGGAGCTACATGCACCAGGTTGCCCTTTTGTAAGAATAAAATTATGTTAACAAAACCAGATGACCGATTTAAACCAAAACCTGTACTGTGGTTAGGCACTACTTAGGTTAACTTGCATGTCCAAATTATCAAATGTAGAAATAAGGGGGTATCAGAAACACAAATAAGCATCTAAAGCCTACATATAGCAAAGAAAAATCTTACTGTTATATCCTCAAGATTCACATGAATCAAAACAAAGTTCTAGTAAATATTGCAGAATTCATAGTTTATGCTACTGAACAAGTTCCACAAAAGATACCTGGTCTTGAAAAGCAACAGAATCAGCTACAGTGGCGTCGTTAACACTGTTTTCCTCTTTGTTTGCACGGTTAGGTAGAACCTACAAATTTGCAAGACATGTTTAGATACAATCGAGTCACCAACTGCGTTTACCTACGAGACACATTGTGAACAAAAGACACCTGATAGTTGAGATCATTTTTAAATGTGAACAAAAGACACTTGATAGTTGAGATCATTTTTAAATGTGAACAAACAACACTTGATAGTTGAGATCATTTTTAAATGTGGCCTAACCTTTTTATCCTTCCCAAAAGCAAAACCAGGAGCATTGTTAGCATTATTCCTTGCAATCTCATTCACCTGTTGCATCAACTCAGGTGAACCTGGCCTCCTTGAAATCTGAAACCCAAATGTATAAGAGTGAGCCAGATTTTGAAATGTACTGAATCTGATCTCCATTTCGAGTAACTACCTTCAATATCTAGCTGTTGTCCAAAATTTGTAATTTGTTTGGCAAAAAGAAATATTTTTTGGATAGAAATATTCAATCAGAAAATACAAAAAATTGTCCTTGGTTGCCAGAGCATGCTCCTGGAGGCAAGACCAACGGGGCAACAACTGAATATATAGAGCAGCTCAGAAAATCAGTGCACCTTTGATAGCACATCAACAACATCCTGGAGTTCTGAGATACTAGCAGAGTCCTGAGTAATCAATGTCTGGACAAGTGACATGGCAAATTCTGTTGCAATCTCTGAGGAGAGAAGAAACATTTGGCAACCCAATTAATAGACGAAAATTATACAAGAGGCACAGGTCCGGTATTTGTGAGGACTATGAACACAGGAAGTACTATATACTACAAAACAAAACAATTCAACATACTGTTTCTTCCACCGTCAATTAGCTTTGCTAAATGAACATTGTACTCTTTGACATCCAGCAAATCAGAACGAATAAGGGCAAAAATGATTTCACTATTAAACTTCTTCTCATCGTCCAAATAGATTACCTGCGCACAAAAAGTTGACAAGACAATTAAAAAACTTGTCTGTGAAGTCCCCAACCTGAGAACTGTGGAACAAATCACAGCAAACCAAGAGCCCAATTGATAAACTCCGTTCCTGAGAATTAAATATCAATAGGTGATCTCTGTCGCACAAGGGTTCAAATATGCTGCATAAACCTCTGTGCCAAGTGCTAATTCCAAAACGGAACTAACGGTTGTAATTTGTATCGTTAGTACGTTGTTTATTAACTGAATATTGTTTGGCAGCCCGCTCGCTCTTATGCACAACTGCATTACACTAAATTATCTCACAAGACACAAAAAGGTCGATTCACACTCATCAAAGGTAGTCTAACATACCAGACATATTGCACACAAATGCAACTAATAAATAGAAGCATAACAAATTTAAACACGGCATTCAGATGAAATTAAGGCTCATTGATGGATATACGAGTGACATAGACCTTTGGATCAATAACAACAAACTACATTGACGTAGCACAACAAAATGAATTATGGAAAATCAGGAAAGCGAAAAAAGGCAACTAAAACAAAGGGTATATGCCATAAAGAAACATACGGAATTTGTTAGCTCCTTGACAACAAGCTTGCATACATCTCTTATCGCAACTAAGGTTGCTAGAGACCACATGACAAAACCGCTATTTGATGTGTTGTCATACAAACTTTTGAAAACCTGAGACCAAAGACACCAAGAAAAATATGTTAGAAGAACAATTGACAGAGTATTGTGAATAACAAAATGACCATGATTTACCTTTTGTGCAACAGCTAATGCAGCCTCATCCCGGTTAACACATTTGAGTAAGATATCAGGAACTTCCGCTACAACAGACTGAACAAGAGAACACAATGAAGAAGACATGTTAGTAACAATTAGATAAGGTATATGAGTCTTTAATATACTAAACAATGAAACCATGCACGGTGTGATTAACTTCACAAAATGTTACAGCGACAGATCGATGAGCTGTTTGGTTCACAGCAAATATTGCCTAAAAACACAGTGGTGCACCACACTCGATAGTTCCTACACTTCTTAGTTGCTACACGGGATGATGACATATTGTTTCTCTTGCCACAGTATTCACACCTATTGTTTTGGTTCACAACACAGGACTACAGGAGCAGTGGCAGAGGCCACACGTTGCCTAAAGTGGAAGCACTGAATTCCTACAGAGTAGAAGTAATGAGGGAAGTAATGAGGGTTAACCTGGATTTCCACATCTTTACCATCCTTCGCAATCAAGACTTCCAGCTGGAGGGTAACAACAAATCAGTTAAGCAAAACAGAGATATGTACATGGAATTGAGATTTTAAATCAGAAAGTACAGAAGGTCGGAATTTATAGTAAAGTTCAAATTATTTACACTATGAGATATATAAACATAAGAAACAAAATGAATGCAGATCGCTCTGCACCATCACAAAGACATATCAACAATGTGCCACTGACATGTGGGCCCACTTGACAACCCCACATGTACGTGATGGCATCTTCAAAATGAAACTAACCTAAATATTTCTATCTACTGTTAAATAAATAAAGAGTCTCCAACAAACCAACTACTAAAGAGTCCAACAAAAATGAAGCATGGCACAGGTGACAAAGAAGCACGTGTGGTGTGGGCAGTCTGTAGACGAAGCACAAAGTGGAGGCATATACATGCCTAGGCAGAACCAGACTAGTGAGCCAGTTTATATACTCGTATCCGAAGCGAAGAACAGGGCTGCTTTGGTTAGAAACTAAGATAAATTATCAGATGCATTCAACAAAAACTCCACATGATAATAATAAAATTAATAGAACATATGATAACAAGTCCTAAATAAAAGACAATAGAGTTACTGACTCACATGGCTAATACATTTTAAAATATAAGGTGTTTTCTGTTATTACCCAGACCTGTCTGTTATATGTTGGCCTTTGGATCATAGAATATAAATTTAGGTATTCATTCTGATAGAAAGCAGCCATCAAATCATGACAAAATTGAATGATAGTTCATGTGTTGCTGATTATCAGTTCACATATATATATCTCCAAATTTACCTTTTGTGAAACCTGTTCGTATCTCTCCATAGCATCACCAGTGCTCAAAGTATCAGGTAAACCAGATCCTAGATTGTCAGAAAATGTAGCTGGAGGTGGCGTCATAACATTTAAATCCTGGTACATGATTGAAACAGGTTTCAGAAGTCTGTCATATATCATGTACACATGAAGTGAAGAAGAAATGTTATGTTGGTCGTGACCATTATTCCACCCGCAGGTAAGTCATTAGACATCAAGGGTGGAGATGTGGATGCATCACCAATGGTTCCACCAAGCCAGCCAGAAGAGTCGCTGATCCCAACTTGAGCAGGAGAATCACTACGAGGCACAAGGTGTTCATCAATCTAGGGATAGCAGTTCGAGCAAACCACATTTCAAAACCAAAAGGTACCAAAGTATGTGTACCTAGAAAGTTGTGCAGCGCCAGGAATCAATTCCTCATACACCAGCTCTGTAGGCTGAGTTAATGTAAGTGGAGCTGTTTGAGCAGACAAGAAAGCACTGGAAGCTTGTGCTAAACTTGGGCTGTAAGCTCGAGGTACACCAAAATTGCTCGATACAGCAGCTGTACCAGAACCTGCAGCACCAACACTTTGGCCATGACTCTGCCATACATGACCAAACTCCTGAAATCAACAACACAAGATGCAGCTAGTCACATGTACAGTACAGAAACATCGTGTGTTAATTCCAATTGACAATTTGAAGTCCTGGTGCTACACCTCATATACTCGTTGTTGGGCAGGAGACTCTGCCTTGGTATGGAATACTTCAGGTACAGGGGCAAATGGACCTTGAGCATAAGTAAAAGAGTCATAATATGTAGGACCAGCTGCCTCTCTTTTCTTCCTTTGTTGTGAAAAGGATTGAGTTATTTCACCCTCAATCGAATCAACAGCCTGCAAAATGGCGTACATGTCATGAGGCAGTGAACTTGACCAACTTCGCGATTGTAGCTCATTGTTGGCAAAATGCTAATGGGGACATGCTCAGGGTGATTAGAAAAGGAGAGGAGGCAAGTTCCACAGTATGAAAGTAAATCACTGGTAGATATTGGCACTCAAATTGCTGAACTAGACTATAGAAGATCACATAATGCATGGAAACTCAAGAAAATGTGTCTAGACTTTTAAGAAACAGCAAATAAAGTATATGTTACTGTCTTGTTGAGTAGGACAAGGGACACGATAGCATGTCAAAGAGCTACCTTGCGCGCCGCTACAGACTCGATACTTGCACAGCCAAGATCCAAATTGTCGTTGATCAGAACCTGTACTACTTGCTCAAGAGTTTCGCTGTTGCTAGCAAGGTTTTGAGTAAGGCTTCGGAGATGAGACAGTAGCGCAACACGAAGCGGTTCCTACACGAGAGGGAAAAGGAAATAATATAATAGGTTGCACAAAAGATTAAAAACAATAAAAACAACCACAAGACAAAACAGAAGAACGTCACTGCTTATAGGGCTTAAAAACAAGCAAGAGGTACCTTGCAAGTAACATGGGCTAGACTTCCAGCTAATGTTCCGACCATCAAACGAGCCGAGCGATTTGCGGCACTGTAATCAGATTCCGTTGCATAATCCTTCAGGAATTAAAATATCAGTAACATAACAACAATTTCACTATGACAAAAAACTTTGAGAAAGAACACAAGGAAACCTTTAGAATAATTTCTTTTGTAGTTTTGCTTGCTATTGAGACACTTCTTTCAATGACTGGGAGTATTATCTCTTTGATAGCCTTATCCAAAGCCACACCCATGATTCTATGGAATAACAGGAGTTTATCAGCTAGTCAAATTCAAATTGTGTCAGATATTTATGTTTAGAAGCATCAAACATACTTGCTGAACTGCAACTGTGAGCCAAAAGGCAAAAGTTTTGAGCTTATTTTGAAGCGTATCTCATCATGTGGAATCAGCGACAAAAGCTGCAAACAACAGATGAGAAATTGCACAATAACATATAAAATCTAGTAACCCAGCAAAAGATGGGTGAAAATGGTAGCATGGCACACCTGAGTTAGAGAGAGTGGCGATGGCGATAGTGATACTAATGGTGTTTGTGAAGATGAGACCTGGGTCAAGGTGTGAGAGGGAACTTGCTCAGGCATCATTAGAGCAATTTTATCATCCTCCACCATACTGTTAGGAGGGAGACGAACAGGAGCAGTAAAATGCATGCATAAAAAATGTGTAAATATAATAGAACAAGACTGCACCCCCTAACATGATTGAATTGATAACGCATGCCCAAGCCATCTTGACTCACCAAAGTTGGAAGGCTCAGGGTACGGGAAGTGCTATTGACCTCAGGCTGCAGGTCTACATGTTTTATTGGGGGGTTGACACCTGAAGAGACTTCTGCAGCCACTGGGGTTTGGGACGAAGCAACATCTTTGTTTGAAAAATCTGGGTTTCCCTCAACTTCACGTCCTCGATCTTTAAGAAGGGAAGTCGGTTTCACATCTTTCATGTCCACACTGAGGTTCTTAAACAGGACCTAAAATCCCACATAATAAGCGTTATAGAGTGTAACAATAGAACAAAAGATAGTCAACAAGACAGTCTAACCAAAAAAGTTGACAACCTCAATGTCAAATTTTAGATTCATCTTCAGGTTTGGTAGATTATAGATCTCAGAAAGTAGACTAAGAATTCCCATTGTCCACGGATTTGGAGGACGATATGCTATACTTGAATGGCAAGGTTCGAGAATCTGCAGAGCAAGCACTGGTCAGATACCAGGCAGCATGTTTTATACAAATGAGAATGCTGCAAATACACACCTTTGAAGTGAATGGAATTACAGCAATCATAAGTCCTCTCTCATAAGCCTGAAATGATAATTTCAAAAGGTTGTCAAGCATAATTGCTTAATACCACTTGGCAGAATCACGCCACCGATACATGCACGCAAATATAGGTAAAATGCAAGTTTTAGAAATAAATAAGACCCAAAACAAGTCAGGCATGGCCGAACGGTCTGTAGAAGGGAGGGAGAACTCAGAAACTGAACTCAGCAAAGAATATTTGGCAGAGTATGCAGTCAAAAAAGATCTAAAATGCAGAATCTGGTACAAAACAAGTACCTCCACAATAAGAGATTTCGGGTCAATTTCCTTGGCTCTTAATGTCTGGTTTCTTCCAATGGTAAATTTTCCCAACCAACTGCCCAAATTTTTTAGCAAGGAACGTTCCTCGGAACTAGATTTGATAAGATCTGATCTTAACAAAACCTGCACAGGAAAATCTTAAGGTTCAACAAGCTTGTTTTATGGTCAAGGCAGAAAAGGTAGACAAGTTAGAGTGACCACAACCTTGCAGTTCTCATATGTAGCTTTCAGCATCTCCTTACTCAAGGATCTTGAGTTAAGTTTGTCAAAGAATTTCAGGTATAAATCATGAAAATTTGGCTCGATGCTTGCCCTGCAAAGATGGACATGGAATTAGTGCTTCAACATTAGAAAAACTGGTGCAAAAAAGAGAGGAAATGAATGGGTATTGTACCTTTTCATGACCATGTACTGTGCAAACCAAGGATAATATTGTTCCTGAAGCACTTCATTAAATTCTTTCGCCTTGGCTTCCATATTAGAGGTGGATATATTGTTAATCATAAACAAGATCTTGTCCTGAACTTCAGATGGGGGAGTCTAGATGGAGAGGAAAATCAATTAGCCCAACCACATTGTGTATTCTCCCATGAGAGCACACCATGGAAAACAATAGCGATACGCCAATACCAACCTCAATTGGATTATCTCTTTGCTCCGCTGCTGCTACAAGTGTCTCAATATTTAAAGCATTTCCAAATCCCGTAGTGTAGGAATGTTGCCAGGGCAAAACTATAAAAAGGGACCAGAAAATAATTCATGGAGCAGTAGCATAGAGATTATAGAACAAATAAAATGTAATCACCACTCTTCTTGTGAAAATAACAAGTAATCAAGTCACCTGTCGAGGTATTCCGGGGGCGCAGAAAACTAGTGGAATGAGCACTATTTGACATGCTCGTAGAGTGAGCTAATGAAGGTGGAACAGTAGTCTGCAATTGAATATTTTCACAGTAGGTCAAAGAGAGACAGTTACTGGTGGCTAAGTTACACAAATAACATAAAAGAAAGAAATAAAAGATCAGACACCAGCACTGCATCCAAGCATCTCACTTTTGGAAATATGAACAGGCAAGGTAACAGGAAAGCATCTACTCCCTCCATTCCTAAATATTTGTCTTTTTAGAGATTTCAAATGGACTATCACATACGGATGTATATAGACATATTTTAGAGTGTAGATTCACTCATTTTGCTCTGTATGTAGTCACTTGTTGAAATCTCTAGAAAGACAAATATTTAGGAACGTAGGGAGTAGAAAATCTTTAATACCCCCAGATGCCTTAGAAAAGTACCTTTAAATTAAAGGCTGAATCAGCAGATGCTGAAGGAACCGAAGGCTGACTAGGTAAAATGCTCTTATTCTGAGAGGTGCCGATGGAGATCTTGGACCTGTCTCCAAGGACACTTGGTTGCCTTTGCTGCAACGGGTAAGGTGTCCTTCCTAGCTGAGTTGGAGATGTACCCATTAACTGCCATGATGGTTCAGATGCCTAAAGAAATCCAACCATGTCAATGATGAAAAGGGATTAGGTCACAGCAGAACATATCAAAACAGTAGGAAAGTGGCAGGATCTTATTATCCTGAAAATTGCCGAACAATACATTCCTGGTGGCCAATCCACCTTCAGTTCCGATTCAACAGTTGCCAAGATTATTTACCCTCATTTAAGTTTTTGTGATGATTTACCTCCATGGCTTCAATAGATGACGATCCAGAAACAAGCTGCTCCGTAGAAAGCAAGTTGCCAGCGTTGGGCTCATTTTGACTTGATGAAATTCGGGCAAGTGCTCGCTCAATTGCAGAGACCATTTCAGCATGAGTAGCTCGAAGATGTGAAATCTGCAATATGTGATTGCAGTACTGTGGCCACTCTATTACACGATCCATGAATTGTTCCAATGCTGTCGTACCAAACATAAACATCTGCATCCAAATAACACGATCAGGACTACAGATTGCACAGATCAGTGAACATATGTGGATACCAAAATAAAACAGATTTGAGCTACCTTTGAATCAACAGACTTGCGTAAGGCATCAAGAACAGCGCGTAGAGCAATCCCAAGTCCGAGGTGGGCCACAAGTTCATGTTTGATAAGGGATCCTGTTTCAAGAGATGGAATTGGATTAGACAACAGCACAATTGAGTGGAGCAGATGATGACTTTTGCGCCTCAGCTGAGCATGTTCCAGGCATATAGACTACTAATGGACTACTATAACCTTAATTCAAATCTTGATGTGGCAGAAACAAACAGAGTGTGGAACACTATTGTACATTACAGGCAACTAAACATGGATCCATAATGAAATAACGTAGAACATGTGGGCATTTTGCAGTCAGAGAGTTATCATAACCCCCATAAAAATACAATGCAACCTAAGCTTGTATTGTTTGGATAGCATCAAATAGCAAAGTAATATAAGGTCTTGATGGAAGAACATGTGAATTGTTCTAACCAAATCTAACACGGTTAAAGCCTAAAACACAGCAACCCTTTCAAGCTGTAATTTTCAAGACTGGGTAGTAGATCTGTACTTATGTGGAAAAAGATCATGTTATATCAAGTCCAGCTAAGTCACGAGCAGTTTAAGCAACAAGATAGAGAACCAGAAAACAGTGCTTTAATGAGAAAGGTAACCTCAGGTCACGATTCAATATAATAAGTGGCTTATGAAGGTGTAGCAAAGTGAAGATATACTTACCAAATAGCACAGCAGCTAGTTTAAGCTGCTTATCCGGATACTTCGTAAAGAACTTGTATTCCTCAAACAGATTTGAGATCATACAATTAAAAATTGATTGCTCCCTGGAAATCCATAACATTCATGTAATCCATTTGTCAACAACTATCAGTGCAGGAAAAACTTTGCTAGACGAGGTTGGAGAACAAACAGAGCATACTAGTTAGTGGCGTGTGTTTATCATCTCATACAACGTTGGCAAAACAAACTTTGGAGGAAATAAATGCAGTCAGTGATTCAATCAGAAAACTTCTCAAAACAATCAATGTTGCGCGGGCTGTCTATCCAAAACTGAACTAAACAAGTTAAAATAACAATAATTTCTAGAAAGCCAGATAACTAAAAGACAGGATGGTGTAATTAAATCATGTCCTACACTGTAAAAGAGACCAATAATATTGTATTTCCGTGCTTGGGTTAGCTATAATCTTGAATATCCAACACTTCAGCTTATTACCATCAGTTGCTTGTAAGTTCCTTGTGCATACAGTTTTTTGCAGTGTTTCTATGTGACTACGTAAACCACAAGTTGAGTTAAACAGGCAATAACAAGTCATTTTCAAATTGATCTCAGAAATGCACCTCTTATCTGGAGATTCTTTGAAGCGAGTGAGCATTTGTATCATCACATCAATGTTTATCTGTCCAGAAAACATCTGGTGAAAATACGCATTTGCTTCTACTTCAACATCATCTGAACCTCCCTCCGAGGTAGGTATGTCCCTTGCTACAGGACCCTGATTTCTCGATTCATACAGAGCACACAACTCCCTTAGTTCATCCGAGAGTTGGTTGGATAAGAGCTGTCCCAAGTGAGACTGGAGAACCTGCAAATGCGTGTGACAATATTTACGAGTCGCAGAAAGATAGAGCTACTAACAAATTGCAGAAGCACAATAACCAAGAATCGGTCAAACCTTTATAAAGGGAGGACAAGCTTCCCAATACGTGTCCACAACACTAAATTGAGGTTGTTCCGCGGTACCCTCTACTGCATAAGATGCGGCATTCATAGCTTCTTTCAGGAAATTAACGCAGTCCTGGGAGTCAGAGCTCAGAGTGTAAATAGGGGAAACTAAAACTTTAGATGGCAATGAAAAGACTAAATTCATTCTTTTTTACTTGTCGCTTTGGACATCAACAGTCTCAATATACTCAAGTTTAAAGAAAACAGTCTCAATATACATATTTGACCACAACTCTTTGAATCACACTTTTAACAAATACATATAAAGTATAAACATTAGCTATACACATCTGAACACAACTCTTTGAATCACAGTTTGGAAAGCATGAATACTGTACTGATTCAAAAGAGATTTTTATGAGAAGCCTAACAATAGCATTTGCAAATGAAAAATAAAGAAATTAGCCATCAAAGTGAAAAAAAAACATTGACTGCACGCATACTAGAACGAGATCTAATAAAAATGGGGGCAAGTATTGAAGAATACAATAGCAGATTTAAAACTCCTGAACGAGTATGGAAAATGGCTAAGCATGCACCATCAAGAGATAGTAATTTAGGCATATAATCATGCATATTACCTCGACAAAACCGTCCTTGTATACAGTTAACTTCTCAGTGAGCCATTTCTCAAGATGGCTATGATCTTTCCTACAAGCAGCAGCCACCAATCTAATGCTAAATGTGAATGGAGTGGACTCGAGGACAGCAGATAGGATCTGTTTCAAATGGAAATAAAATTTGGATGAATGACACACAAGATGACAAAATAGAGATAACATTACAACATTATAGTTTCAAATGGTGGCAATAACCAAATATTCTATATCAGAAGTGTATGGAATGATCATCGTGCAAGGTACACCAGCAACATTAATGGTTTCTTTCTTCAGGAAAAGCTTACTATTTGTTGTAGTTGTAAAGAGCCCAATATTACCCCTAACTTCCAGAAATAAAATTAACACTGAAGAAGTTGCAACAATAACTTTGACAACTGTCAATGTTACTGTGTCTATACAAACCTTCAGGTCGTGACACACATCCACAATTCTCAGGAGACAACTTGGATCAGAATGAGCATCAACAAATCCTCGAAGGGTGAGGCATGGGTTAATATGCCAGAGATATTTCACCACATTTCTCTTTGTGGTGTCCTTCAGAATAGCAGGAAATGCACAGGACAGCACTTCAAATTGGAGGAGATTATATGCAGTCTGCATAGCAGAGCATGGGAATTAACAGTAGTAAAATGATTGAACTGAATGTAGCTTGTTAAGTAGGACTAGAAGAATGTCATACGTTGATGTGTCCAAGACCAACAAGTAGGAGTTCAGGGCAATGTCCCAAAGGATAATCGAGCATGGACCGCACCGACACAGTGTGTCCAACTTCAGCAAGCTGGCACAAAACCTCTAGAAGGTCAAGGCAAAACCAAGCATGATTACCTGGACCAAGACTTGCAAAGTCCGGAAGTGCCTATAAGAAATTACAACTGTTAGATGTATGAATTGTACACGATCTTGTCATGAGTAAAGCCACATGTTATGAAAATAGTACCAGCAGCCTCGAACTATGTGCAAATGTAAAAATAGTAGCAGGGGCAGAAATTGCATGCTTTAAAAATGATATCTGGCCTTCTGTATTTGTCCACATTGACCCACAAACAGCATGAAGCGGAAAGGGATCCTGTATTATTCAAGAAATTTGTCAGCCAAGCATGTGTGTCTGTTGAAATGCCTGAAAATGAGCACATATATGTTTACCTTGCAAGCGCGGCCATATATATTCATCAGTAAACAGAAAGCTGCTTCATCAGGAATACTGAAACCCTCATGATCAAGGCTTTCCATAACATGCACCCAATTAGTACTTGGGGCCTACATGGGAAAGAACAACCAAGTTAAAATGCAAAAGCATGAGGCAAAGGAAAAGAATACAGCATGACGATGAGCAAGGCCTCACCAATTCGTTGATTGAATCCACAAGAACATCTGTGTTCCATGTAGTCAATTGAGGCGACTCACTCAAGTGGGTATTTCGAATAGCAGATACGAAGGTTGCATAAGTGTTATGGGCCTCTGCAAGACTATTTTGAGTGCCAATAACTGCCCCGAGCAACTTAGATATTGCCACATCATCAAGAGGCTGAAAAGTGGAAAGTATTTCCTTACACTGTGTGCTGTCAACAGTGCATCCATAACCCAACTCAGTTACTATGTCCGCCATACTTATTTCTTTCCCAATTTCAGAAAGAAGTGACTCAAAGTCATCATTTGTGCTATCCAAGTACATCTCCAAATGTCTGCAAGACACAGAAAATAAGGGGGGTAATATGTAAGTAATCAAATGGACATGAGGTGAACCGAAACGTATAGGTTTTGGCTAGTTAAAGACTAAACACCTTGAATGATTTATTGACTGAACATCATGCTGATCTTTGGGGATGGGAGCAAAAAAAGGACTCTGTCCAACTTCTAGAAGAGAAGCAATGTTACTAAAAGTATCCATATGCTTTGTCAGGCCATCGGTCTGGTGAAGGAAGACAACGATTTCATGAATTTGATCATTTGGTACCGATTGATTAGGATTCAAACACAACTTCTCAATTTGAGCAATTGCAAATTGTTGCCCTGGAACGATGAAAATAAAGTAGATGTCAACAAACAACTGAAAACAGAAGAAGCAACCCTGATACACTCAACACAGAGTTCAACTTCACCACCTACTGTTTACCTTTCAGCTTCATGCCTGAATTATCAGAATCTGACAGCGCAAGACCAATACCGACTTTCTCGGCCACTGAGAGTTCCAGTGCACTCGACAGAGTCTCAAGGAGGCCATCGGTACCAGTTTTTATCTGCATCAGTGCCTCACAGAAACAAGTGCTAAAAAACGTTTTATCCAGACAATATCTGAAAGTGGCGGATAGAAGATCATGCTTCAACTGCAAGTTTTTGGCCTCCCTGTCATTCAGCAGCACTTCATCCAAACAGACTTGGAGCAGCAAAAGACATCCATCGTGACCATAGTCAACTAACTGCAAAGGTGGAAAGATAAATATATCAGAAAACCTGCACCGAACTAGTTAATTTTGTACTTTGCTTGTACGCGGAAATGGTTAAAGCAATAAATTTCTCTCGTAAACTGCCGGGTTGTTCACAAAGGCTGCGAGTTGCTTGTGGGCATGCCTATACTGCCCGCCAACAAGACCACGCCTTGTCTGCAATTAAAGCAACTGATGCGGAGACGGAATCCCACATGCCAGCAGCGCCACGTGCTGCACTCTCAGCCCAGGTGCTGCATCGGCACATCTCATTCCCTATCCCCAAATCCTTCTACATACGTCAAATGGACAGATGGGCCGACCGCAATTTGTATAGCGAGCATTGACATGACGAGTTCAATTAGAACTAGCTCAATTAGGAACATCCAAGTGTGGGAAATGAATTCCCATTCTATTCTGCTTACTAATTACAGTATAAACGTATCTTGTCGTCTTGCGGCGCGCAAACGGTAGTGATAATATCAGAATTCCGCGAAACGGCCTCTCGGAATCAGCAGCACACCGCGTACAAGGCGGACTCCTGGGCTTAAGTGCTGACCGATTGCCAGGAATTGTAAGCTCGGGCAAACATGCCCTAGCACAAGTGCTCTGGCTTGCAGGCAGGCCCTACACCTGCATACAGAGGGCAGCCGACCAATTCATGGTCCACGGGACGCTGTGCACACCACCGATTCGGAATCTAGGTCACCCAACCCGATAATGTAGCAACGATCACCTACGGACGCACCCCCACAGTGACGAGTGAGATTAGCTGATACGAACCACAGCGTAACAGATCCGGGCGGGCGAGGGGCGAATCGGACGCGCCGAACCGGTCGGCGGGCAGCGGGGGAGCGGGTCTAGGGTTTTATATACCTGGCAGAGCTCGCGGCGGACGGACTCGCGGCCGGCGTCGGTGGCGCCCTGCAGCACCAGCCGCACCTCGGCGGCGACGCCGGGGTGGTTCAGTGGGACCATCTCGCCGGCGGGCAGCGCCGCGGCGGGCGGGGGCGAGAGCGGGGCTCGGGCGGGGGCTGGGGGTCGGCTGATGGCCTTCGCTGTTGGGTCTCCGAGGGCGAGGCGCAGATGGCGGAGGGGCGGATGGCCCTCGTGTTGTTTATAGCCGGGATCGCACCCGATCGATCGATCGAAGCCGACCGGCGTGTGTCACGCCGGGTTTGCGTCGATTTATCTTTTCCTGGCCGTCCGTCGGGGGATCGACGGCTCTGCCGGTCGCTGCTGCACAACCGATTTTGTGCCCGTCTGCAGATATGGGTGGATAGATAGGTTCGAGAGCATTCTTTGGCTTTGTGTGTGTATTTTGTGTGCATTTATTGTGTAGGAAAAAGTTTGGTTTGTTTTGTCTTTGATGAGTACAAACTTTCAAATGGATGGTGTTTTACGCACACATGTTTGTCATATTGGGTTTTCTTGCTCTTCGTGAACACCCCCCTCCCTACCCCCTATGCCGACAGAGGTATGATGGGCGGCGGTGGGTGGGAAGTCAAAGGTTGGGTAGAAGTTAGGTTACACTATGTGGCGATTCATGGACAAACGATGCGGCATTGGCGGTGAACTACCTACCGAGAGATGATGTAGTGGTCGAGGCTTCGCGAGAATATCGGCTCGTCAGAGAAGCGAGCCGGCGGATGCGGGAGGAATAGGGGATGTACACACCCTCTTTATACAAATTGGTGAAGCGGTGTCTGCTGTTGTATACACTTAAACTTGAAGTATACCAACATTAGGTTAGGGTTTATGGGTTGGTGGCCCTCGTGGCAAGCCATGTCGTGCCCAACGGGGTAGCTGTTGGAAATATGCCCTAGAGGCAATAATAAATTGATTATTATTATATTTCCTTGTTCATGATAATCGTTTATTATCCATGCTACAATTGTATTGATAGGAAACTCAGATACATGTGTGGATACATAGACAACACCATGTCCCTAGTAAGCCTCTAGTTGACTAGCTCGTTAATCAATAGATGGTTACGGTTTCCTGACCATGGACATTGGATGTCGTTGATAACGGGATCACATCATTAGGAGAATGATGTGATGGACAAGACCCAATCCTAAGCCTAGCACAAGATCATGTAGTTCGTATGCTAAAGCTTTTCTAATGTCAAGTATCATTTCCTTAGACCATGAGATTGTGCAACTCCCGGATACCGTAGGAGTGCTTTGGGTGTGCCAAACGTCACAACGTAACTGGGTGGCTATAAAGGTACACTACGGGTATCTCTGAAAGTGTCTGTTAGGTTGGCACGAATCGAGATTGGGATTTTGTCACTCCGTGTAAACGGAGAGGTATCTCTGGGCCCACTCGGTAGGACATCATCATAATGTGCACAATGTGACCAAGGGGTTGATCACGGGATGATGTGTTACGGAACGAGTAAAGAGACTTGCCGGTAACGAGATTGAACAAGGTATTGGTATACCGACGATCGAATCTCGGGCAAGTACCATACCGTTAGACAAAGGGAATTGTATACGGGATCGATTGAGTCCTTGACATCGTGGTTCATCCGATGAGATCATCGTGGAACATGTGGGAGCCAACATGGGTATCCAGATCCCGCTGTTGGTTATTGACCGGAGAACATCTCGGTCATGACTACATGTCTCCCGAACCCGTAGGGTCTACACACTTAAGGTTCGATGACGCTAGGGTTATAAAGGAAGCTTGTATGTGGTTACCGAATGTTGTTCGGAGTCCCGGATGAGATCCCGGACGTCACGAGGAGTTCCGGAATGGTCCGGAGGTAAAGATTTATATATAGGAAGTCCTGTTTCGGCCATCGGGACAAGTTTCGGGGTCATCGGTATTGTACCGGGACCACCGGAAGGGTCCCGGGGGCCCACCGGGTGGGGCCACATGGGCTGTAGGGGGTGCGCCTTGGCCTACATGGGCCAAGGGCACCAGCCCCTAGAGGCCCATGCGCCAAGATATAGGAAAAAGGGGAGAGTCCTAAAGGGGGAAGGCACCTCCGAGGTGCCTTGGGGAGGATGGACTCCTCCCCCCCTCTTAGCCGCACCCCTTTCTTGGAGGAAGGGGCAAGGCTGCGCCTCCCCCCTCTCCCCTGCCCCTATATATAGTGGAGGGGAGGGAGGGCATCCACACCTGAGCCCTTGGCGCCTCCCTCCCTCCCGTGACACCTCCTCCTCTCCCGTAGGTGCTTGGCGAAGCCCTGCAGGATTGCCACGCTCCTCCACCACCACCACGCCGTTGTGCTGCTGCTGGATGGAGTCTTCCTCAACCTCTCCCTCTCTCCTTGCTGGATCAAGGCGTGGGAGACGTCACCGGGCTGTACGTGTGTTGAACGCGGAGGTGCCGTCCGTTCGGCACTTGATCATCGGTGATTTGAATCACGACGAGTACGACTCCATCAACCCCGTTCACTTGAACGCTTCCGCTTAGCGATCTACAAGGGTATGTAGATGCACTCTCCTTCCCCTCGTTGCTGGTTTCTCCATAGATAGATCTTGGTGACACGTAGGAAAATTTTGAATTTCTGCTACGTTCCCCAACAGTGGCATCATGAGCTAGGTCTATTGCGTAGATTCTTTGCACGAGTAGAACACAAAGTAGTTGTGGGCGTCGATATTGTTCAATATGCTTGCCGTTACTAGTCTTATCTTGATTCGGCGGCATCGTGGGATGAAGCGGCCCGGACCAACCTTACACGTACGCTTACGTGAGACCGGTTCCACCGACAAACATGCACTAGTTGCATAAGGTGGCTGGCGGGTGTCTGTCTCTCCCACTTCAGTCGGATCGGATTCGATGAAAAGGGTCCTTATGAAGGGTAAATAGCAATTGGCATATCACGTTGTGGTTCATGCGTAGGTAAGAAACGTTCTTGCTAGAAACCCATAGCAGCCACGTAAAACATGCAAACAACAATTAGAGGACGTCTAACTTGTTTTTGCAGGGTATGCTATGTGATGTGATATGGCCAAAAAGGATGTGATGAATGATATATGTGATGTATGAGATTGATCATGTTCTTGTAATAGGAATCACGACTTGCATGTCGATGAGTATGACAACCGGCAGGAGCCATAGGAGTTGTCTTTATTTATTTGTGACCTGCGTGTCAACTTAAACGTCATGTAATTACTTTACTTTATTGCTAACCGTTAGCCATAGTGGTAGAAGTAATAGTTGGCGAGGCAACTTCATGAAGACACGATGATGGAGATCATGGTGTCATGCCGGTGACAATGATGATCATGGAGCCCCGAAGATGGAGATCAAAAGGAGCAAAGTGATGATGGCCATATCATGTCACTATTTGATTGCATGTGATGTTTATCATGTTTATACATCTTATTTGCTTAGAACGACGGTAGTAAATAAGATGATCCCTTACAACAATTTCAAGAAGTGTTCTCCCCTAACTGTGCACCGTTGCGACAGTTCGCTGTTTCAAAACATCACGTGATGATCGGGTGTTTTATTCAGACGTTCAAATACAACGGGTGTTGACGAGCCTAGCATGTACAGACATGGCCTCGGAACACACGCGAAACACTTAGGGTTAACTTGACGAGCCTAGCATGTACAGACATGGCCTCGGAACACGGAGACCGAAAGGTCGAGCATGAGTCGTATAGAAGATACGATCAACATGAAGATGTTCACCGATGATGACTAGTCCGTCTCACGTGATGATCGGACACGTCCTAGTTTGACTCGGATCATGTAATCACTTAGATGACTAGAGGGATGTCTATCTGAGTGGGAGTTCATAAGATGAACTTAATTATCCTGAACATAGTCAAAAGGATTTTGCAAATTATGTCGTAGCTCACGCTATAGTTCTACTGTTTAGATATGTTCCTAGAGAAAAATTAGTTGAAAGTTGATAGTAGCGATTATGCGGACAGTAGAAGGCTTATGTCCTTAATGCACCGCTCAGTGTGCTGAACCTCGAACGTTGTCTGTGGTTGTTGCGAACATCTGACATACACGTTTTGATAACTACGTGATAGTTCAGTTAAATGGTTTAGAATTGAGGCACCAAAGACGTTTTTGAAACATCGCAAAACATATGAGATGTTTTGAGGGCTGAAATTGGGATTTCAGGCTCGTGCCCATGTCAAGAGGTATAAGACCTCCGATGACTTTCTTAACCTGCAAACTAAGGAGAAAAGCTCAATTGTTGAGCTTGTGCTCAGATTGTCTGAGTACAACAATCATTTGAATCGACTGGGAGTTGATCTTCCAGATAAGACAGTGATGGTTCTCCAAAGTCATTGCCACCAAGCTGTTAGAGCTTCGTGATGAACTATAACATATCAGGGATAGATATGATGATCCTTGAGGTATTCGCGATGTTTGACACCGCGAAAGTAGAAATCAAGAAGGAGCATCAATTGTTGATGGTTGGTGAAACCACTAGTTTCAAGAAGGGCAAGGGCAAGAAGGGATACTTCATGAAACGGCAAATCAGCTGCTGCTCTAGTGAAGAAACCCAAGGTAAAACCCAAACCCGAGACTAAGTGCTTCTGTAATAAGGGGAACAACCACTAGAGCAGAATTACCCTAGATACTTGGTAGATAAGAAGGCTGGCAAGGTCGATAGAAGTATATTGGATATACATTGTGTTAATGTGTACTTTGCTAGTACTCCTAGTAGCACCAGGGTATTAGATACCGGTTCGGTTGCTAAGTGTTAGTAACTCGAAATAAAAGCTACGGAATAAACGGAGACTAGCTAAAGGTGAGCTGACGATATATGTTGGAAGTGTTTCCAAGTTTGATGTAATCAACCATCGCACGTTCCCTATACCATCAAGATTAGTATTAAACCTGAGTGGTTTATTGAATCTCGATCGTAGTGATACACATTTTCATGCCAAAAGATAGTAATGATAGTACCACTTACTGGTGGCACTGCCATGTAAGTCATATCGGTATAAAACGCATGAAGAAGCTCCATATTGATGGATCTTTGGGCTCACTCG